CTACAGTGGAAGTGACGTGGCGCCGTGGAAACATCTACCTAGTGCGGTTGTAAATTCTACAGATCCAGAGAAATCCAAATGTTTTTTAGTTTAAGAGGTTACGTAGAGGATGTATGTTAAGAAATGTCCTTTATGGTCAAATATTGTAAAATACACGTACAACGTATTGTGAACACATTACACTACCATTGTGCACTCACTTAGGATTGAATCTTGAATAGAACGTTTTACTCTTAACGATTATCTCGATTTACCGACAGATATTGAAAGCAGTTGAATTTTCAACGACTGCTAGCAACAAGTGGCACCTGTAAAAATCTGATCATTATCTTGTTAGGTCACCGTTTCCTCATTTTATACTTTCAATTCAAATTGAATCTTGTCGTTGAGTGGTTGTAATCTCCAACCATCCAGTTGATCGCAGATGTTTGTAGTTATTTCAGTTAGGAAGTCGTTAAACTGAAGTATGGTTTCTAGAAAATATGATATGAGATAACTGGTAAAAAAATGGCTTAACAGATTGATGTTCCACTGACGTTTGGTGTTATTTGGTTTATATCTGTTTGACATGACAGGATTTACTCCAACAGAATTTAGTCGAGTTTGAAATTAATCATAATTGTGTGAATGATTCTGTGCATCCTTCAATAATTGTTGATATTTCATCAATATATCGATTTCATTTAAATGATATCATCAGAATATGGCACTTGAAACTCTACTTTATAACACATTTATCATGTTCTATCTCTCATCTCAAACAGATTTATGATTTTATTTTTAAAACCATTCATTCGTTTTCTTTATATCTTGATTATATAAATATGTATTGCATGTTTGGTTTGTATTGTATCTTTATGGAAATTCTTGTAGAAACGGCGGGAAACGGTATTAAAGAGTTTAAAGATAAAAGAGGAAGAAACGTCGTATATTGATATAATGCATCGATTAGTGAAAAGATATCTCTTTAAGTTAGAGAGGGCTAAAGATGAAAAGGAGAAGCGTAAGTTTTGTTTATTTTCATGGCATAAATCTTGTTAGGCTTCAAGGCAAAATAACGCAACGACCAAGTGTTTAAATCTGTAAGTTTGTATATGATTGCTATTGTTGACAATTGGTGGTCGATTCATAGCCGTTTCTGTATATTTCCTTGTTTTTGTTATTATCCACTTCAACTGACGTAGAGTTGTGACTTCATTTAAAACAAAGGATACAAGTTGAAAATGCAATCAATTCCCCATCAATTTCAAATCTAAAAGCCATGTTTCCCAGTACATCATTCTAAAAAACATGAACGTAATAACCCAATAGATTATTACCATGTTTTCATAAATTTCACGTCTGATTACACTT